CGCAGTCTCTTTAAGACAGGCTATACTTCCCTTTAAGAGACTGCGTTTTATACACCACACGCGCTGGGTCACGGTGAGCATCCGAGCTTTAAAGCTGTGTGCGTTCATGCAGAGAATTACGTTTATTTCGCGTTTTCTAGCAAAAACATGCATGTTAATGGTATTTTGATTATGTTATGTTAATAAGCGTATATTTGCACAATATGACGTTATTCGTTAATCTACGTTGGGAAGCTACCGAGTGATGTATGTGTGTTATTGTGTCGTACAATTCGCTGTTGTCAGCACTGTTTGCAATAGAGAAGTGTAAGTAATGTAAATACATTTCCATAAAGTAACTAAATATAAGTAATCTATTTTATTTGTCCATTAGTACTGTTGAAAAATGGAGTAACATTTGTGTTGGATAAAAAGCTACTTAAACGCATCATCAACAACCTCAGAATGTAAATGTAGTTTTGAGCACACAAATCTCAGAGGTACGACATTTTGTTGACACACTTCTGACCGAAGACATTTCACATCCTCTGTCTTGAGAGCTTATCGGTAAGTGTAACGTTTAAGTAATTTATATTTGTTTGCATCTAAAATACATTTTGTAGTAGAGATGAGTGCAATGCATTAACTTTCAGACATCTGAAACTTTTTATAATGGACAGACACCTCTGTTTAATAAATCGCTTGTATTCCTCATCTGTACGTCGCTTAAAAGGCTAAACGCTTGGGCATGTTGTAGGGCCAAACATTGCACGCACCTGTCATGAGTGTCTCCTCCTGCGATGAACCTGTCACATGGCTCGATGCATCTCCTTCTAGCAAAAACATGCATGTTAATGGTATTTTGATTATGTTATGTTAATAAGCGTATATTTGCACAATATGACGTTATTCGTTAATCTACGTTGGGAAGCTACCGAGTGATGTATGTGTGTTATTGTGTCGTACAATTCGCTGTTGTCAGCACTGTTTGCAATAGAGAAGTGTAAGTAATGTAAATACATTTCCATAAAGTAACTAAATATAAGTAATCTATTTTATTTGTCCATTAGTACTGTTG